TGCATGAATGTCATTTCAAAAGAAAAAAAAAACATCAAAGTATCGTAAAATGTTTCTCACTAAATTAAGATGATATCACATATCCGGTTGGGTTTAAGGCTGCGGAGCGCCTCAGCCAGTTCATATGTACACGCGTCTTGAAAAGAGCCAAGCCAGCTCCGTGGAAAGCGCCTTTCCGCTGACGAAGCGATGGGCGGGGAGGGCTTCGCTATCTGTTGGCGCCGACTAGCCCGGTTAATTACATCTGAAGGCGGAGGCCGAGCACAACAGCATGTTAGAGCCGCCCTTTGCTTTCAGCACATGCACCACCTGCGGTAAACACCACTAGGAATATATATATATATATATCGGCCAGACGCCACAATAGCTCGCGCCTTTACACAGATAACCCGCCCCGGCCCGCCCAGAGAAGAACTACGAATTAGGGCAAGGCCAGCAGGTGGCTGCTCCGCCCGCGTCCCTTCCACTCCAAGCCAGAAAGCTCCCCCGGTTCGTTGGCGGTATTTTCAGGCGAGAATCTCCGACGACTGAAAGGCAGAAAGAGAAGAGAGCACGTGCGTCCGGGTCTGCAAAGGGACAGGACCGGCGCAAGCTCAAGCCCTCCGCCTCCGCATTGATCCAAACGGCGACTGCCCGTCTCCAAGACTCCTAATAACTCATAAACCGATTCTAGTTATTCCTTGCTCGCATCGCTTTGAGCAGACTGCTTTAACGAATGCCCAATTTAAGTGTGCCCTGAAGCAAAAGTCCGTGTAAGCCTGCGGGTCATCGCTCATTTACCTTAATGAGATTTGCTGGGAAAAGGCACCTCTAATGCTGCAATGCGAGTCACCGACTCTACGGGCAAGGGGAGAGATCAAAGCAGGCTTATTTCAAAGTAAGCCAGCCGGATTCGGTCTGCACCACTGGCCACTTTCCCACTCCCGGCAACATCAACTGCTTATCATATTCCTGTCCACGCAAGTCCCCTCCCGCTTCATACCGGGTGCTGGGGGGCTCTCCGATTGCAAGAACGGGGAGCCTTTTCGCTCCTTCTGGGATTCTCTTTTGACAGCGGTGACGGCAGCTCCGGGGCCAGATTTTCTGCCGGCTGAAAAAGCCGCTTCTTCGCGCTTCTTGCTCTGTTGCTTGCGCTGCTCTGCCTCACGGAGGATGTCGAAAGGGTCGGATTCATCATCGAGCAGCTGGTGGAAGCGGTTGGCGACGGCACAGCCAAAGCTCTCCTGCATAGTTGTGGCGGCGGCCACGGGGCTGGCCAGCACGCCTTTCATTGTCGCGGTGCCGTCAGCCGCCGCAACAGCAGCACCCACCCCTTCCCGAATGCGACAGAAAGAAGCAAGCCCTCTTCAGCACGGCCCAAGTAACCACGCCATGACCACTCGCCCGCCCCGTCCGACTGCACTACCAATCGCCACGCCAGCAATGCCGCCAACCCCGCCTGATCAACCAATCCAGAGCTCCGCTTTTTATCGTCCTACCCAATAATGAGCCTCACAAACGTGTAGAGTCATTGACCAATCAGCATCCGGAATTCTGCCTCAATCTAGCAAAATAAACACGGGATCCCCACCTCTCAACAATTTCCCACGCCGCTGGTCGATGACGTAGAGCGTCTGTGGCGTCACGTGCTAGAGCCTTGAGTTATTAGGATTTTTTTTTTTTTGAAGTATACCGTATTATCAAAGTTCCGTTTAGGGGGAAAAGAATTTGAATGTTGCTTAACTACTATGCTACACTGAATCTAACACTGAAACATCAGTGAATTACTCTAAATGAAGAAGCTGTGACTGGTCCAATGATTGAAGATCTTGAATCTGATGGGTCACTGGTACTCTCTGAACCTAGTTATTCTCTTTGCAAACCCTTTATTACCCAAACTAGGTAGTATCATTTCAACTCTGAGCTACAAATGTTCTCTTCTATTGATTTTCAATTTCTCAGGTTTTAGTTAAAAGTCTTTACATTGCACCCTGACTCCATGCACATATGGACATTATATTAATGTGCAAGTGGGAAGAGCAAAAAAATACAAGTACCAGTATTAAAGTTAGAGTAAGATTCATTTAAAACATAGTTTTATGCAAGCTGTTCCCAAATATATTTTATTAAGTTTATATGCCATCCATCTTGCTGTTAAGCGAATCTTACTAAATTACTATGCTGTTATTGTTTCAGGTTTTTGCTTTAGGACTTCTCTATTGTTACATTGGCAAAATAGAATCCATATCCTTCCTCAAACTAATCAAAAACATTTCAGCAAGAAATATTCAATAACATTTTAGCCACATGATTTTTTTATTTGAAATTATATTGAAAACATACAGTGAGCTTAATTTTCCAGATAGATAGATGATAGATAGATAGATAGATAGATAGATAGATAGATAGATAGATAGATAGATAGATAGATAGATAGATAGATAGATAGATAGATAGATATTATGGCAACAATACTGTACACATGCCCATGTATTTTCTTTGGCAATAATATTGAAAAGGCTTGTATTCCCTTTTCCCAGGTTTGATCAAGTGATGGATATCAGTTTATCCTACAACACTAACATTTCCTTTTAGTCATATGTTTAATTATTAACCATCTCTGACTTCACTTAGCTTTTTGAGATTAGACAAGATCAGTTAGATACTTAAGCCAAATATCTTCTCCTTTATTATGTCAACCAGCTTGGATGAGATTTATTTATTTATACAGTTAAACCTCAATTTGAAAACTTGTTGAGAGGAAGGGGTTTCCATTAAATTTAAAAATACTGTTGTGCATGCTTCTTAAATCCATTTTTTCATAAAGTATACATCAGACTTCCTGGCTCTCCCAAATCAAGACTTGGTTTTGTAGTTGCCATCTTGTCCAGCACTTCCCTCAATTGCTATGGCAACAGCCAGGAAGAATCAACTTACTTGTTCTTAGGGAGCAGAAAAGACTTGTCAAATTTACAAAATCATGCCTAAGTCACTTCACTAGATTGTGAATGAGAGTTAAGGAAAGCACCTCCAAGTTCCCTTCCAACTTTACTACTATTACTATTACTCCTATTGCACTAATATCATGGCAGCATATATGACTGCACCTATCAACACAATCTTTTCACTTGCTTTACTAATTCTAATCTTCCCACTAACACGCCCATTCTCTTGATCTTCCCAGAAGCATTAAAAATGCTAGTTGATAGAATTTCTCTATTATTTGGAATGTGTCCATTACACCTGAAGTATGTCAAATTATAGTATGTTAAACTGAGATTATATAATTATTTATATCTTGTTCTTCTGAGGTTAACATGTCACAGCAGTTATCTGCAACCAAAATCATAATATAAAAATGAGTATTTTAAAGGAAACAGAATACACACACACGCATACACATAGAAACACACACACATACATATATGCGCCTTCCTGAAAAAGGTACAAGCTGAAAAATTTCAACAGAGGCATGGGCAGGTTGGAGGGGTAGAGTGAGGAAATGTGTGTCACGGCATGACAAGACAAAGTACATGATCTACCTCAGGGACGTCAAACTCGCAACGTCACGTGATGTGTCGCAATGTATTGTGACTTTTTTGCCATTGCCGGCAATAGGGTGGGCACGGTTTCACTATGATGCATCCAGCCCGCGGGCCGGCAGTTTGACAACCCTTATATACATATTTGCATCTGAAATCAAATACAAAAACAATGAGATTTGCATTGTGATGTCACTGCATGCACATGATTTTTTCATTATTGTGATGACCTGTAGATCTATTAATGTCGGGTCCTTGATGCTCCGAACTGTTTTCCTGCATACATTTCATTACCAAACTAGATAACATCATCATCAGTGCTAGTAGGGAGTGAGGTTTGCTCTCATTTTACACATGGTGTTTCCCAAAAAATAAGATCCGGGTTTGTTTTTTTGGGGTTTTTTTTGCCTCCAAAAGAGGCATCTGGTATTATTTCCAAGGGGTGTCTTTTGCAGTCACTTCACAGTGGCGGCACCAACAGCCCCAGCCAGCCAGCCCAGCCAGCCCAGTTCTTCTGCAGCCGAAGGAACAGCTTCATTCTGAAGCAGAGAATGGAGTTCCGGCCTGCATTTTGCAGTCAAGAGGCCATTCTGGAAGGCCCCTGAAGCCAAGAACCAAGCTACAGATTGAATCCATAGCTTGGTTCTTGGCTGCAGAGGCCTTTCCAGAAAGGCCTCTGACTGCGAAATGCAGACTGGGGGTCACCGCAGAAGAAATAGGCTGGTGAGGAGAGGCAGGTGTCAATTCATGGGAGGCCTGGTAAGTGGGTGTGGGGCTCATGGGGTAGCTCCACCCCCTCCACCCCCACCCTAACTTGATTTTTAAGCATATGCCTCTCCCCAAAACTAGGGCTTATTTTTGGGATAAGGCTTACTTTCAGGGAAACACAGTAGTAATGGCTTGCCTGACAGTTTTGATGGGAATGGTGTTGATGGTTCCTTGATTGGGCTTTGTTTATTGTTATCTTGTTTGAATTGGTAGTTCCTTGACTGGGGTATTGTTTGCTTCTTGATTGTTGGCCTGTTAATCTTGGTGTTAATCTCTGCTCATAGGGTTGTTGATTGCTGATGAGATGCTTTGGTCTTTTTGTTTCTTTTTTTGGCTTTTGGATTGTCTTTTGAACAATATGTAGATGTTATTTATCTGTGCTGTTGATGGCTGAATTGTCTGAGTGCCAGGCTTACAGGAATTCTCTAGCATTTTTGGATTTGGTTTAGGGTGCTTACTGTTTCCCATTTGAAACTATGATTATGTCTGTTCATAAGTTTTCATGTCGTCTAACTGCTGGTTGGCGTTCATAGTTGCGGCCTGCTAGTCTTCTGCCTTTTTGTGGTGTTGCAGTCCTTACAGTGTATGTTATTAATTTTGAAGATTCATTGTTACCCCCAGTTTGGAGTACACATACATAAGGGGCAAGATTACAATCATATAGTTGTGACTACTATTTTTATTTCTCTGCAGACACCTCAGCAGCATGCTTCCAAAATCAATTGAAGAACAAGTGGTAAATCTCCATCTCCTGCTTTCAAGCAACCCTAAGGCATGATTGGCCAGTATGAAAAATAAAATAGTAGAATAAGATGGGTCTAGCAAGACAATGTTAATCTTTCTATCTTGTTAGAAAAAACAAAGCCTTTTCACCCAATAGTAGAGAGCAGCAGGATTAATGTGAGAAAGGATATCAATAAAATGTTCAGGATAATTCATTATGGCTTCAAATTATTATAAAAACTTAAGTTATTCCAAAGCAGATAAGTAATCATCATAGTGTTGGCAAGGCAAATTTTAATATGATTCTGCAATCACCCAACCAGCCTTTCAGCTGTTTTTATTGACTGAACTGCAGTTTCTAAACATTCCTCAAAAGTGGCACCAAATAGAACAGATTCCAATAATCCAATTTTTACATAACCAGGGCACATGTCAGCATGGCTAGATCTTATTTCAGATATTGACACATTCTGGACAAAAACTTTTAAAAATGCCTGGATGAAAAAGGGGTAAGTGTGGATAGCTGAGCCAAAAGGATGTCAAACCTCTCACTTCAAAGACTGGATAACCTTAAGGGCTCCTAGGCAGATTTTAAGATCAGAGCACATCTGAACTGTTTACGCGGAAGACTTCGCTCCAGCGTTTTTCAGATACTCGGCTTTTCTCGTAAACCGAACAGCTTCTGAAGTTGCAATTCATGTTTACTGTTCCCGCACTCTGCTCTTTAAATGCATCACATGATAAAGAGATCACATGGTACCCGGCAAAGCGCGCCTTGAAAGTTGAGCTTGAGCAGATTTTAACCAAAGACTGGATCCAAACGTATGCTGTAAAAATATGTTTGCAATATATTTCACTACTACCAAAAGAGATGCTCCCTCCAGCCAAGTCCTACCGCTCATAACCAGACCGCTCGCCTGAGGAAAGATGGAGGCCGGCTTTGATGAATACCGGCGACCCTCCCTCCCAGACAACTTTCGAATTCTGTTGGCTATTGTCATAAAATGTTAGCCAATGGATGAGCCCGCATACCCCGAAGCCACACCCAGTGTGTGTTTTTTCTAAGCGGTCCGCCTTTGGACTGAAGGTGGCAGGCGCTGCCTCTCTTAATTATTGGCTGGAAGAGTCTGTCACTCCAATGACGTGTATAGCCGATTCGACGATTGGTTCCGCCCAGGCGCGAAATGTAACGCGGGAAAATCTAGGGCTCGGTAGCGGTGGTCGGGGTTACTGCTGCTGATGGTGAGTAGCCGCGGTTGCTTCAGAAAGCCGGGCAGACACTGCACGGGGTTGGCCTCTGCACGAGTCTTCCTATCATGCACACCTGAGGCGTTTCTTTTCGGCCACCAAAGGAAAAGCTAAGAAAACCACCCGCGGGGTACAGGAGGTAACGGCAACCGCGGATCGAGAAGCAAGAATCTCGGACCGACGCGGCATGTCTGAGCTGCCGGGCCCTCCGCCTGTTATCTTGTGTTCGGGAAGCTCCCCGAAGCGCGTCTTGGTCTCGGTCATCAAAACCACCCCAGTCAAGCCGCCACTCGCCAGCAGAGAGGATCCCGCCCGCGTGCCCGTGCCGCCGCCACCCATCCCTACCAGTCCGGGCTTCAGCGACTTCATGGTCTACCCATGGCGCTGGGGAGAAAATGCGCACAACGTCACCCTCAGTCCTCCGCCCGCCGCATCTCAGCCGCTCCACGAGGGAGGAGGCAACGGCGACGGACTCCGAAGTGCCGTTGAGCGCTCCACCGGAGAAGACGAAGAAGCGGGGAGCCCTGACAGCGGTACTGGGAGCAACGGGCACTTGAGGGTGAGCGAGCCCGAGAGGCGGCGGGATGTGGGAAGGACAGCGTGGGCAGCGACGGTTGAGGGAAAAGGGCTTCGGTTTAAAAGGAACCTTATTTGGAGTCCGAGGGCCTCCGCCCCTCGCGAGCGAGCGTCTCGCGGGGTTGCAGTTAAGTCATTTCCGCGGGTGATTCACCCTCTCAATGACGACACCTCCGCGCGCCAAAAACATCCTTTTCTTTAAATGTCGGCCGCGAGCGCCGGCGCGCGCAAGGCACTCTGGCAAGGCAGGTAACGCGCGCGCGTGCTGCTCGCGCCCTTGGCCCCACCCCTCCTCCCCCTTGGTCTTTATTTTGTGATTATTTTACTTCAGTTTTCACAAGCTCGTTTATTTCTGGGTGGGTGGGCTTTCTCCTAAAGGATAACTAAAAGGTGCGGTAATTGCCGTCCCCTGAACGTTCCCTCTGAGGAAACCCGGGGGGGGGGACAAAAAGCGGTGTCATTTCGACCAGAGTTCCTTTATTTTATTACATTTTATTTTATTTTAAAAGCATTTTACGTAAAACAGTACTGTGTCAAGGGGGCTGCAGATTCTTTAGCATCCCAAGGACTAAAGTAGGTTTATATGTACAGTGCCTTCAACGAATAAAAGCCCCCTGAATTAGGGGTGCAGCCCGTATAATGCTCTCACTAGCTCTTTATGGCTTAAGACATGTCAGTGATGGCGAACCTTTTAGAGACGCCCCAAAACCACCCGTCCCCGCTCTGCCCTGCCACAGATCTCCCAGGGAGCCCAGCAGTGCCATGATGGCCACACCCTCACCCATGCCCCACAGCATCATCTGGGCGCAAGGGCAGAGTCTTGTCCCTGCTGCCTGGCTACCATGTCCTTGGCTATGCTGCTTCGCATGGGCTGTGCCCAGGGGCAGCTCTCCTTTGGGAGAGCTACTGGTGAGGAGGGGGCCGTGGGAGGAGGCGAGGCTGAGGCAATGGTGTGTGTGCCCACAGAGAGGGCTCCAAGTGCCGCCTCTGGCACACATGCCATAGGTTCGCCACCACTGACATCTTTTCTTCTCAATCGCACACACACCTGTCCACTTTCTGCATAGTACTGTGAGAAACAAAAATCATTGTTGTAGATTGTTAATAGACTTGTTAATTTACTAGGATGGGATTAGAAGAGGTCGACCAAGAGCAGAGACAGTCCGAGATCTAATAAGTGAGGGAGAGCATTCATCTAGCAGGATACGTTGTAATGTGTGCAACAGAGTTTTCCCAAGAGAGAAGTCTTTGCAGGCACACAAAAGAACACATACTGGTAAGTGGACTGGATAAACAATATATCTCATTAGACTGACTACTTTAGAATGATTTGTCATGCAATGGCAATTATGCAACAACTTAATTCTTATTTTGAATAAGATGGGACTTGTCAGTGAACAATCATAGATGAGAAGTTATTTGCTTCAGAAGACTAAGATCTGTATTGTCCATATTATGTTTTGTTAGACTTTGAAATAATATGAATTGGGATTAGGGTGTCATGTGGATTATGTTTTTCCATTGATAGGGAGAAGCAATAATCCCATGAATTTCTTCATGTTCCTTAAAATGTTCAGCTACTTAAGAGCTAGCTACTTATAAACCCTATAGTAATATAATGAATAATGCTGTGCTTAATATATATTTAATTTTTCAACTAAATGCATGTGCTTAATTTTCATGAAATTTATTCTGTTCACTCCTTAAAATTTAATTTGGAATTTTATCTCTTGCTAAGAAATCTTTGTATATAAATGCAACAATTTTTCAAGATGCTGTGATAGGAAGTTTGTTTTACAGAAAAAGTCTTTAAATGGTCCAGATTAGAAAATGAACTAACAGCATACTTGCAAAAAAAAAACAAAAAAAACTTTAGTTGAGCTGTCTCAATTTTTAGCATCCTTTTAAACTAATGAAAAGAGTTAAAAATAATACAGATAATCCTCAACTTATAACCACAATTGGGATCAGAATTTTGGTCAGTAAAAGATGTGGTCAGTGAGCGAGTCATCACATGAGCAGACTCATTTTTACAACCCTTTTTATCATGTTAAGAGAGTCCCATTAAGTGAACTGCACACTCATTAGCAAATCTGGCTTCCCCAAATGACTGCCTGTGAGAAGTGAGGGAGATTGTAGACCACTATCATAAATATGAGCTGGTTGCCAAGTACCCGAACTGCAATCATGTGACAGGAAAGGCAGTACACCAGTTGTAATTTCGAGGACAGGTCATAAGTGGGTTTTTCGAGCAATCATAACTTTGAACTGCCATTAAATGTTTGTAAGTTGAGGTCTATCTGTAACATACCTCAGGCAAATTTTAGCAAAATAAGAACTTAGTATATTTTATGCAAGAAATTCCTGGAAGAAACTCAAGAGATTATTTTTTATTTTTTTCCCGTTAGGTGAAAGACCTTATTTGTGTGATTACCCAGAGTGTGGGAAAGCTTTTGTTCAGAGTGGGCAACTTAAAACACATCAGCGTCTCCATACAGGAGAGAAGCCTTTTGTCTGTGCAGAAAATGGTGAGTTATGAGAAAATTGCTTTTATTCAAACTTCAGTAAATAACAGTCTTGAAAATAACCCAACAAAATATCCCAATTTTCATCTTATTTTAGTAGAACTAAGTATCCTATGTTTCGCCATGAATAGCTATATAGCCTCTCAGCAATACAGTTTAAAAAAATTACTGCATAAGTTGGCAAGGGGCAGATTCAAGGATAATCTCACTTTTCTGTGTTCCTTCAGAAAGCAAATTAACCGAGGACAGAGACATTCCTTGTGTTTTTGTTTGGGGGGAGGCTAGACTAACTATATTTCTGACTGATACTTTCTTCAATCAAGGATGTATAAGCAGATTCACACATGCAAACCGCCATTGCCCCAAGCATCCATATGCAAAATTAAGACGAGAAGAACCTACAGATAGACTGAACAAAAAGCAAACTGCAGACAACAAAGCTGTTGCTGAATGGCTGACAAAGTACGTATTTATATAAAATGCAACATTAAGAATTGAGAGAGATTGGACAGTCACTTGTTAACCAACAGTTCTGTATTCTGTACAACCATGGCCAGGATGCTAATAAAAGCTTCCTATTATTACCTCAAGGTAATTTTTGTCTTAATTTGGGAACTAGTTGACTATAATATTTCAGTAATGGTTTTCTAATGCTCCGTTTTATCTTTATTAACAGGTATTGGGAAATGAGAGAACAACGCACTCCTATATTGAAAAATAAATCTATTCATAAGCCTGACCAGGAGCAACAAGATCCCATGGAATATCTTCAGTCTGAGGATGAGGAAGAAGAGGAAAAAAATACTGCTCATTCATCCCTTTGTAGCCGCCTTCAAGAACAGCGTGAACGCTTACATGGGGCACTGGCACTCATTGAGCTTGCCAACTTGGCTGGAGCCCCACTGCGACAGTAATAGAAGACCTGGAGTGTGGATTAACAAAATGTACTGAATTTTGTTATTTAAACCAGTTAGCTTCTGGCATAAGCTAAGCACCTTATCGGCTTCCATAGGCTGCTATTATGTAGAATTTATGAAGAATGTTGTTACCCTAGAAAGTGGGGTAAAAGAATTGCACTTTTTATATGGTAAAGCTTTTAAAGTATTTTGTAAATAGGAGATTATATGATGCAGTATGTAACATGATCATCTTACAGAAAGCTAGATTTGCAAGGTTAGGGTGCTTTTAATCACAGTTGCATGGAAGTAAGTCACTACAACCAGTGAAATTTGCTTCCATAAAAACGGTGTTTAAAGTTGGGATGCCAGTCATTCTTTGTTTCAGTTCTCACAGGAAGCACTTTCTAAACCTGTATGGAAATAATGGTACATACATTCAAAGAAAATTAATAGATTTTTTAAAAATTGGATATAATCAGTGATGTACCATGCTGTTTTGAAGATATTTTATCTAATATTACTGATATATGCTAGAATGTCTTAATTTTACAGCAGAATAGTTGAATTTCATTTAGAATCCTCTCTGTGACTGCTGACATGGAGGCTGACTTAGCTTTTATGGATAGATACCTTAAAGGTCTTTTGGTTGAGCAGCACTTAGTGTTCCCAGTATATATATATGGGAATATTTGCACATTGTTGGACTCTTCTATAATCGAGTGATTACTCTTGCAAAATCTAGGCATTGTAATAACATCAAGTATGGGTTTGGGTCAGAGCTCTTAAACCCTGCAACAATGGCATTTGTGTTTTGTTCATGGAGATATTTACAGGGTAGCGTTGGTTTTTAAATATATTTTAGAATTTCACTAGCAAACACTAAAATGTTGCTTCAAAACATTTTCCTGCAGATAGGGTTTTTGTTTTTTGTTTTTTGCGTGATGCCACCTTATTTACCTAAAACTTAAATGCCAAGTTTGTTTTCACTAATTGTAGCTTTCAGCAGTAGTTACAAGTGTGAGATGTTTAGGCTATATTCTTTCCCTAAGTGAAGATGTAGTACAGCACTTAGTGCTTTTGATCACTTAAAGGAAAACAAAAGTTCTAGTGGTATACATTAGAAATAGTTTTAAGTAATTTATCATATGCCAGATGTGTGCCTTGCTAACTGTGTAAACAATGAGTACAAGTGCATTATAGATTAACATAATCTGATTTTAGGAAGAGTCAAGGCTTCTGGCATAAGAACATAAAATCAGTGATATTTATCAAAATATTTTTTTTCAATGATCCAAGCTAATATATGGTTCATTCCTAGTTCCAACTAGACTTTGATATCCTATAATTACTTATTAATATTGGCAAATGGCTATAAAACCAGAAAGTTAGTGCAGTTTATACATTTGACATAGTTTTATTTGAGGGTTGTTAGGTTTTTCTGAAACCATCACCCTTAAAACAAAGCACTTCAACTTTGACCTCTGAACTACATTTAAAGTTATATTAAAGCATTTAGAAAATCAGTGTAAACTTTGATGCTTTCTCTGAATCTGATTTAGCAATAGAGAAAGACATTTGCACTTCATGGAATCCAGTTGAAGCCATTGTAGAAGTAAATTTATTATTATATTGCCCAGCTATGAAAGTAAGGCATAGTTTGTTGATACAAAGTTTCCCCCAATTCAATATTTTCTTTACACTGAATGCATATTGAAAATATGTACTTACTTAAAACACATTCTGTCTATCTATAGGCAAATTGAGCTGCTTTACCAATTATGTATAAAATACATCTTTGGGCAAAAAAAACCCCCTCCAGATAACCATTTGTAAAAAGTTGGATTTTAAAAAATGGAAGTTCAAGAATTCTCTACTATGTATGATTAAGCTGTACTTCTGGCATGAGTTAAAATGCTGTAATTCTAATAAGCTTTGAATAAAATGTTGCCTGAATTTTACATCTGTATTCATGGTAATGACATAAATTCTCATTGCAGTGTAGAAATCTTTGGATCAGGGTGGATAATAATCGATGATTTTTTAAAAAAAAATGGATTTTTTAAAATTTAAATCAGATTTTTTTAAATCAATTTTTTTTAATAAAATGCTTTTGGAGTAAAAATCTAAATATAATTTTCTATTTAAGATACATTAATAATTTAGTTTATTCAGCATGAAATGGAGCTTAGTAATGTAGCTGTATATTCTGCAATATTTACATTTTTGGTAAACTCAATGAATCCAAGTTTTGCAAGCTGAGATAACATGTACTGCATTGATGCATTCACACAATTTCACAGTAACCATGAGATAAATCATAAAGTTCAGGAATATTCTTTATCCCATTGTTTTGCAAATCTATGTACACTACAAACTGTATGATTGTTTGAAGAAAAATGTATCTGTACCAGGCTCTAAGTGTTTTAATTAAATAAAAGAATTTGAGTAGTTCTCCAGCTATTGTGTTTCCCCGAAAGTAAGACCTGGTCTTATATTATTTTTGCCTCCGAAAGAGGCATTAGGTCTTATTTTGGGGGGATGTCTTATATTTTTTGTGGTGGCACCAACAGCCCTGTCCAGCAGGCGCCCACGTGGCTGCCAGCCCACTTCTGTGGCCACTCGCGGCAGGAGGCGCATGGTACATCGTGCCACTGCCATCACAACAAGGCAAGCCAGGTGGGGGAGGGGGTGGAGCTGCTCCATACACCCCACACATGCTTATTTCAGGGCTCCACCAGCCAGGCCATTCCTTGCTCAGCAATCTTCCCTTTCCCCTCCCAAGCCAGACTCACACTATGGAGGATGGGTGGGGTAGGCCTGGTCCCCCTCCACTGTTTCAGAGCCAGGGGGGAGTGACAGCGAAACGCTTTGCTGCCGCTGTGTGCCACTGGAGGGGGACGAGTTAGGGCCTGTCCCAACATGGCGGAGGGGGAACAGATCTATCCTACCCATCCTCCGTAGCATGGTAGTCCGGCTCAGGAGGGGAGTGAAAGGGAAGATTGCCCAGCAAGGAATGGCCTGACTGGGATGGGGACTTGAAGTAAGTAGGTATGAGGTAGCTCCACCCTCTCCCCCACCTGCCTTGCCTCATGGCAGCAGTGGTATGATACACACTCCTGCCCCATTGTGGAAGTGAGGTGGGACTGGGCAGGGTCCCAGCTAGGCTTATTTTTGAGGTAGGGCTTATATTAGGCCCACCTCCAAAAATCAGGTTAGGTCTTATTTTTGCTGTAGATCTTATTTTCAGGAAACATGGTGTGTGTGATTAACCTATTAACCTAAAATCAGTTCTGATATTGCTGTTTTACTAACCTGACAGCTTATTATTCTAAAAAGGAAACCTTCATTTTGTTTGCAAATAATATTAAAGATTCTAACAATCAGCAAGAATAAGTCCTTACATTTAAAGAGCACCTGTCATTTCAGATCCATCATGGCAGCGCCTGTTAGCGGGCATCCACTCACCTGCTGCCCGCCATGTCCCTCACCTTGTGTCACTGCCACATCACCAGCCGTCCCATTAAAGTGAATGGGACTGTTGGTGAGTCAACAGCGGGTCAGAGAAGGAGCTGCTGTGGGACAGATGACAGTTGCTCTTTAAAAATCAAGATTTAAATAGAGTTGATTTAAATCAAGCCTTTTTACTAGTGATTTAAATCATAATTTAAATCGTGATTTAAATTGACTTGATTTAAATCAAATCCACCTTGCTTTGGATATATCATTCACTCTTCCTGAATTCCTGGACAAGTCCCTGTAGATTTCTTTTAACAACTATTTTGATACTTTAACATTTGATAGCTATTTTGATTGAAGAAAATAAACCCTTCAGTTTAAATTTGAAGAAAATAAACCCTTCAGTTTAAATTTTCATTATTTAATAATGAAATAATGAATAATTTCCAAATATTTTTTGTAATTCAGTATGCCAAATGTTGATACCAACAATATAAACTGATATTCTGATGCTTTGTGTTTTATTGCTTTCCTAATTTCTAACTGCATTTGTGTTTTTTACAATAGTAACTATGTAGACATTGTTTTTTTTTTTAATGGAACTTTTTTCCAACTTCAGTCAATTCAGAATTGGTCTATATTTGAACTAGAATTTTTATATTATGTGGATGATCCTTTTACATTCAGAGTCTGAATTGATCCAGTTTTCTAATTAAGACAAGTACAGAGTTTTCAATTACTTATAGCCATCTATTACATTCCTGTGAAGGAATGTAAAGCTGTATTTGGGAAAGCTGTATTTTGAGAAACCCATTAAAGGGAAAAGAAAAAAGAAATATTAAGGGTAACTTGGAGAAGAGGTTGCACAGAAGAAGTATGTCATGCTCGAAATACAGCAGGAAAGCCAGAGCAGCACAAAGCGCACCAAAGTGATCCTCTGAGCTCCACAAGTCGGCCAATAGACGAAGCTTCCCCCCCCCCCCCGGCTCCGAGGCATTTTAACAGAAGAAAGAGGGGGATGTTACAGCCGCGTGGGTGGAGACAGCCAAGCCGGGTGCAAGCTTCTTCCTGTTCAGCCTCGTTTCCTTTAGCGAGGAAGGGCTAAAGTCGCCCTTTGCCTGGCTGGCGGGGATGTCATTTCGTGTGACCGGCAGGTGGATACCTGTTGCACAGGTGCGAAACAATGAAAGCCAAGATGCCGGACCAGGAGCCGGTTGCATCTCTCCCTGGCCCTTCTCCGCTGCCCAAGCTGTTCTCCGCCCTTTTCTATGGGACCTGCTCTTTCTTGATCGTTCTGGTAAACAAAACAGTGCTGACAGTTTACAGGTGAGATCAGAGGAAGAAGGTGCTGCGCGAACCTGCTGGGCAACGGTCGGTCGGCCTTCAAATCAGCCCACTGTCAACTGGTCAAAGCTACGCCTTCTTTTCTCTTCGTCCCCTTCTCTGCGGAGGGGGGAGGGATTTCCCACGCTGTAACCTCTGGCAACGCGATCGCGATTGGAATGGCGCGCCGTCTTCTTTTCCCGCCTTCAGCCGGGTTCCCGCTTCTTATCTTATTGAAGAGTCTTGGGCTAATCTTTCTGCTTCCTCGTTCTTTGGAGGACTTTTATGCCCAGCCCCAAAGAGAAATGTACAGAACTTCTTTAGTTCGATAGGATTGTCTCCAGTTCTTCCTAAACTTAACGGTCCATTTTTAAAAGGTGGTTTTGATTGGCAGCCCGGGAAATACGAGCTGTAGTCTCACAGATTCTGGTTCCGAAGTCCCGATTCCAAAGTTCTTGCTCAACTTATAATACAGTTGAAGCAGATGGAGAGGAGAATTGGACATTGGGAATGCATTCTTCAATTATAGTTGTTTAGCCCAAGGCTTGACTGCCCAGATCTGAGCTATAATATTTAGCTGATGGCAGTGAATACTGTGGATAGGTTTACAATAAATGGATTCTTTCTTGCCATCTAGTGGCTGTCTGGAATTTATAACCTGTGTATCCCTTATCAACAGTAATGATTTTTGTGATTCAAACAATTTTTTTTATTTATTTTTACAATTATTTTATTAGATCAATAAATTAAACATTAATCCATTTTATTACCAGTCTACAATATTATTATTGTAACCTAGAGGCAAGATCTTTCCCAGGAAATTCCCATTACATAAATTCCAGTGGGATAGCTGAGATCTCAGATGCAGGCCCAGAGTCCTGTGATCAACCAGGAGAAGGAAAGTAATTTGTGTTGTATATTTGAAAATTAATTATAATTATAAAGATGAGAATTTGTACACCGAGGCTATAGCAGCTAAATGACAGTGGACAAATAAAAATATCTCGATGTACAAACAAAGCAGCTTTTCTCCAAACAAAAGCATTTTGGCTAGTAGAGAGAAATCTTTGGAGTCATAATTTTGCAGGCTGATATGGGTGCATCACACCAAACTATGTATGTGCATGGACTTCCAGCTCCAGAAATACTTCTAACTTTTTGTGGCCATCTAGCAGTTAATCTGGTATCCAGATTTTGTGTCCAGATCTTCTATTTTGATGGCTTACCACAACTCATGAATTTGCTGTAATTGTTGACAGTTGTAATTCATGATTTATGACTTACCGGTATGATGTGTGAACATGGCTATTTTGTATGAATACATTTCAAATACGTTGACCCCCCCCCAAATTTACTATCCACATTAAGAGTCTAAACCTTGCACCTGCAGCAAGGATTCAGCAAAAAACTGATAATAACTAGCTCAGGTGAATAAGGACCTCAGGTTTGGCAGCAGAGATGAGTGGATAGCAGGACTCCATATGGACAAAGATCAAGTCCCTTACAAGCCAGGCCATATTTCCAGACAAGTCAGGATCCTATACAAGATTGTATATTGTGCTGTGGGAGGGCTCGTGAAGCCAGTACGGTTGGATAAGCAATGTGATATTAACTCTAGCCCCAGCAGATGGAGCCTGCAGGCTTTTAATGAAACAGATTGGCATAAGGAAATAAGTCTATCAAATGGCACATGCATAGAACAGAAAAGAGTAGCTTCTTTGCAGAAGAAGACTCCTAGAATTGATAAGCAGCAAACATTCATGTTATTGGGTTTCTGTCATGATTGTTAGGGAACACTTGCCACTTTATAGCCTGATGCTTCACTTGCAGGTTTCTTATTTCTGAATTGTCCTGGCTGTTTTTATTATATGGTCTTTTATACCCTTGATATCCATAGCTTTTTTAAATACACTCTTTATTATTTTGTTACTCTGTTACAGATGTGTCCAGCTCTGGCAACTTTAAGACCTGTGGACTTCAACTCTCAGAATTTCCCAGTCCACAAGTCTTAAAGTTGCCAATGTTGGATACCCCTGCTCTATTATTTTGTGTAATTGGAAATATAGGCTTGATTTTCTTCCAAAATACACATTGTAGATTGCAACTGCATACAAATAATCCATACATGACTGTATTGCATTGGATAGCCAATATTTCTTTGTTTAAACAAGTTGCAGAGTTTTAACAATTTAAATTTTGATAGCTTCTGATTCGTGTATGTTTGCATATATATGACCTTTCTTTCTAAACTGAAATATACAATAGAATCACACAGACACACACAGATATGTGCATGCATAAATAAGTGTCACTTTTATTTTCTTTCTAGATTCCCATCTCCAATGTTTCTTGGAGTAGGACAGGTATGTTCATAGATAAAAGAGATTAAATGGTAAATATTCCAATTTACAAATATAGGTTTTCCAGTGGTTGAAAGATGAAATGCAGATGATTTTCTTCCTCTTGAGAGAATTCTCTTTATTAAAGCCCATCTCAAGAGGTTTTTATAAAGTAAGGTTGTAACAGGGATGGGTCATGTTCTGGTGACTGAAACTATATTAGTGTTTTGGAATCTCAGAGACACAGATAGGCATCATGATACAAAGTGAGCAGGGTCAAGATTTTTCTGGGGAGAGGGGATTTTTCTTTATTTTTGTAAACAATGCTACTTTAGGATTAACATTTTTAAGCATGCTCTAATTTTTTGGAAATCTTCACAGTTGAAGGAGAGCACAAAAATGTATGAAAACATCCATCAGATCAAACTGGAGTTCTGTGTCCATTGGTGTAGTTTGCAAACCTGTGGGGTTATTAAAAACAAATCAAACAAGTCTTCTTCAAAACAGCAGTATCTATAGTCTACCCCAGCTGCATATGGAAATTTTATTTTGCTGCTGTATGTGATTGTTTTCTCTCCCTTTTAGATGGTAACCACTATTCTCATCTTATATGTGTCAAAATTAAATAAAATCATTCATTTTCCTGATCTTGACAAAAGCATCCCTAAAAAGGTAAGAATGACTTAACTCCTTGCATGGGTTGTAATATTACCATGAAAAAAATGTTCCTAAATTCTGTTGGCGCATACAAGTGATCCAGATCCAATTAAGAGATGTTTTTGGCACCCTTTGTGCCCCTTAAAACAGGGCTTTTCAACCTTTTTACTGATTGTACCACTTTTAGGATATGGCAATATTCAAGTACCACCTAGCAAGGTGTCAAAAACTTGATGACCAAAAAAAAACCTGTTCAAAGTTGCAATTGCACTGAAATGACTTATGACCATTTTTCACACTTATGACCATTGCAGCATGCCCAAGGTCATGTGATTTATATTTGGATGCTTGGCAACTGATTTATATTTATAATGGTCACAGTGTCATGTGATCCCCTTCTGCAACTTTTTGACAAGCAAAGTCAATGGCAGAGCTGCTGGTGGCCAAGTGCTAAGGCGGGACTTCCTTTCCTCCCTCCCTTCCCTGCCTCCCTTTTTCTCATTCCCATCTCCTTCTGAAGGAAGAATTTGACCCCCCCCCCATATTTTCCATCTTCCATATATTGATCAAACAAGGAAAGGCCTCCAGAGACAGAAAAGACAAGCTGCTGAGTGAACTAGCTTAAAAAGGCACATTCTCCTTTAAGAATTAGCTACTGGCTCGAAAGGAAGATAAGGAGTGCAGCCGGCACTTAAGGAAGAAAAAAAAAATGTAAGTACTGGCTGCCAGCTAAGGCAACCTCCCCAAATGGCTCCATTCACAAGTAAAGGAATGCTACAGGCAAAATCCATTCAGGAGACAAATATTTCAAAATCCCTTTCAGCAAAACCTACAGCTAACAACAGCAGAGCAATAGAAGCTAACACGAGATATCAGCCATCAGCCAAATAGAAATTGCCAAACAGTCCTTAAGAACACAAAGCCCTCATTGCACAAATCCCAGAACTTCAAAGTCACAAAAGCACATAAGAATCCTTCCACTCTCCATCTCCTTCCACTCTCCATCTCCTTCCCTCCTTCATGTCTCACCTCCAGCCATTGCTGCCTTTTTTCATTCCTCTTGGAGGGTGACCCCTCCCCCGCTGCATTTCTTGCCTGTTTGCTGCTGCCAGCACAGGTGGCTGCCACAGCAGTTGTAGATCGGCTCATGTCCAGCCTGCTTGATCTCCTCTCCCCCCACCCTCCCCCTCCTTCTTCTCCTAACTCTGCCTCCTCCCAAGGCTGCTGCTTTTTTTCTCTCTCTCTCTCTCCTGTCCAAACTGCCTCCTTTTATAGGCTCTCCTGTCTCTGCCCCCCTCCTCCTTTCTCATGGGGGAGAGTGAGCCAGAAGTGAGCCTGGGGCCTTTGCAGCTCCAGAAGACTCTCTCACTGCAAGTCCTTGCCTGTGCTGGCTCTTTCCCTCCCCCACTACACTTGGCTAGGCAGGGCTGCATACCACCTGCCACTCATTAATGTACCACAAGTGGTACACGTACCACCGGTTGAAAAGCCCTGCCTTAAAATATCCCAATGGGGGAAAAATTAAGGGACAGGCCCAATCAATGGGTTAAAGCCCCACCCCTTTTAAATATGCATCATAAACATTGCACACATTTTATGGTGAAGGGAAAACTCTAGCATTTTTGGAAGTAACCCTCATCACCAAGGATTAAGTATTTGCAGGCAGAATGTAAGAATTTAAAGTCTGAGAATGGAATGGGGGCCCTTTTGGAGTGAGAGGAAAAGGAAGATGGAGAGATGAACATAAGCTGAGACAAAGCAAAGGGTGAAAGAAACAGCTGTGGGCCTTCTTTGTTCATGTCTGCCAAACTCCCCTGACCCCTCAAAGGGGCCTGGCCTTGAAACAGCTCCCTTTCTTGGCTCAAAACAAGGATCTTCCCTAGAAAAGGGATGCCAGCTGGACAGCAAAGGAGCCAGCTTTTGCTAAGTGAAAGGACTGCCCACACTTTCTCAGCCTAGGCTGCCATCCCAAACTTGTCTGCCAGGTGGGAGAGACCACAGGACATGCATTCCTACTGCAAGATAGTTATCTCTTTGTTTGTTGAAAGTTCATGTAATTATTTAACCGACTGAAGCTTCAAAGGAGACACCATTTGTTGTATGTAAAGTTTTGTCCTTGAAAGCTTAAAAGAGCAAGTGTGAATCGCTCAATCTTCCTACTCCTTGGTTGATCCAATATTTGCTTTTAGGCACTTGCAAATTATCTTCATTAAGGAGTCATTGCCACTCATTTTACCCTTACAGGGAATTTGCATGGTAGAATTGCTAGATTCTTTCCATGCATGATTATTATTGTTTTCCATCATGTCCTTTTTAAAATGAACCCAGTAACATACAAATCAGTTGTTAACACTTATGCACCTATGTGAATTGCACAATAATCATTGTTTCTGAATAAAGATCAAACCCATAAAATAGTGCAGATTGTGGGGCTTGGGTTAAAGTAGGGTCTCCAGATAAATTGGTTGAAAAAAACCCCTCTGCTAATCTAATATTCCAGCTCTTGGGGTTTTGATTCTAGATCAGTCCTACACAACCAAGATGTTTATGACCATGCAATTATTAGAAAACTCCATAGTTCTCAGTAGGTGGCAGCACTTAGCTAAACTTGGTTTATCTCAAGTAACAATACAGGACTTGTTAGTGCTGGAATGAGGATCACCAGTAGATCACAAGACTATTGACAAAACTGGGAATTGGGAAAAATAAACTGAATGAAGGAAGTAGAAAACAATTTCCATACTGTTACCAAGTAACCATCATGGCCATAGCCATATAGTCACCAGGAATCTAAACAGGTTTTATATTTATTAATCCCAAGTGAATACAAAGAAATGTACTTCTAACTGATAATCTTCATCTGCACATATAGTAGAAAATGCTTAGAGAAAAACATTATGTATGTTCATTCATTGTCATTATGATGGGTCCAATATTTTTGTTTTGTAAGTTAAGTATAATTGTATTGATATAAGCAGGAGTAAGGTCATGCAAAGAATCAGATACTAACAAGTGATGTTCCTTTATAAGGCCTGCTAATTTGTCTGTTTCTATTGGTGTTATGAATTATATGGTTTATGAATTGATTTGAACAGATTTCTTCCAAAGTGGAGTGAAATGGCATAATCTGAATGGTGCATTTATTTTATTACAGTTGTTTCCACTTCCTCTGATTTATATTGGAAACCATATAAGTGGATTATCAAGCATAGGCAAGCTAAGGTATAGTAATGACCAGGTAGTAAACTTAAACTGATAATTTCTTTGTATTTAACCCTTTGTAAATTTCAGTTGTTTTTCCAAGACTGTTAAAAATGGAATATATTTTTGCACAAAAGCATCCTCATCTTGCCAAAGAATTGCTTTGGACATTCCAGTGTATAAAATCAGTTTATAAAGTAAGTGTTGGACTTAGGAACAAATATCTGTAAAGAAACTTTACAACTAGCCATTCTATTTTCTATCCTTGTGTTTTGGCATTTTCTTCCTCCCCTTTTGGTGACTGGTATGTTCTTCATCTTTGACTGCTGAAAATGGACATTGAAAATGGACATTGATTAGACAGTGGGCCATTCATTGTGTGAAAAATTGGGTGGGGTAGTTAGAATACATTGTTTGGGGAATCTGCTGCCTGAATAGATAATTGCATGTCATGTAACCGTTTTATTTGAAATGGTACTCCAGTCTCATCCAATTGCTTAACAGATATGTAGGTGAATCACAAATCTCCATCAGTACATCTAGGAAGCATACCTAAAGCAGTGCTCTTGGGTATAGCTCAGTAATATGGCATTTAGGATTCTAACACATAACGCTACCCTCATATTTGCTGGTCTCACAAGCTTATGCCAGTTATTTGTTTGATGTCTGCATCATTGCATGCAGCTGTGTGGAGATATCTGGAAAGGTTGCTAGCCTTTGTCTTGGGCATGCACTGGTCATTTCACATTCTTCTGAAAGAAGCACACTAGTGTACTCATGTGTGATTATTTTGGGTTTTTCATAACTAGGAATAAGTATTTAGAATTTGCATTTGACTTAGACACCCGGTGAATTTCTAATTATCTATTAATATAATACAGTAATACTGGGACATTCTTCTGTATTAATATGGAAAGGGTTATGCAGCTCAACTTTAGTGATCGTGTAGGAGTCCTTCCCAGCTTGGGGGCTTCCAGTCCAGGTTAGAGAAGACTATTTATTAGTTTCTGACCTGGCTCACCAAAATCTTTTCCATATTTGCCTTGATTCTCAGCATTTAGATAGCTATTCGTGGAAAATACCATATCACTGACTACTTGAGAACTAATTTTAACTAAATTAAAAGGAAATTACTGGAAACAAATTGTATGAGACAGATGCCAAAGTTGTTCTTTTTTTTAATTATTCTTACTTCCAACTATTCTACTGTCTAAGCATTCTTTGGAGTCAGACTGACATTTGGCTTTGCAACTGAGAATTTATTTAGGGGCATTCTTAATGTCAGTTGAAGCTGAGGATGAAAGTATGAAGATACATAATGAGTCATGAAGGAGTTTGCCACTGACACAAACTAGTCTCTCTCTCTCTCTCTCTCTCTCTCTCTCTCTCTCTCTCTCTCTCTCTCTCTCTCTCTCTCTCTCTCTAAATACAGCTTGCCAATGTTTACAGTCCTGAGGAAGTTTACCATTCCTCTTACATTACTGCTGGAAATTATTATTCTTGGGTAAGTATTTGCCTCTCATTTCTGAAATACCACAATGGTTTATCGGGTCACATAATGATCCAGTGTATTTTGTTGACTAATAAGAATTAGAAGAGACAATTTGAACTGCTTAAAATTATTTGGGCACATAATTTCCTGTCTATGAATAATAGAAATCTGAAGCCAAACATTTGCTTCAAGGCAGCTCTTCTCCTTCATGCCTTTCTTCCTAACTCCCTGTAGTGAGATATTTTGATCAAACCCATTCTTTCTCTTGGCTCTTCCTTTTGGCTTTTCACCTAAGTCACCCTTTTCCTGATTTCTGTTTGGCTACCTTCATTGTTTCCTTCTTTTTAGCTACTTTGTCTCTTTCCTATCCTCACCCTACCACAGCGGTTCTCAACCTGTGGGTCGCGATCCCATTTGGGGTCGAACGACCATTTTACGGGGGTCGCCAAACAACACGATCCGCCATTTTTTCCCTCAGCGGGCGGTGCCACACATGCTTGCCGCGCATGGGGCGGCACCGCGCATGCGCGCCGCGTCCTTATGACCGGGGTCGCCGTATAAAAAGGTTGAGAACCACTGCCCTACCAGTTCTGGCTTGCCAAAATTCAGATGGCCCCTAGAGGGCAGCAAAGAGCTTTCTGTTATGTCTTTGCTACCATCTACTGCAGTGCTTGTTTATATTTCTGAAGAGAATATCTAGTAAACCTGCCCTTGCTCCTCTTTCTTCTTCTGAATACAAAATCTTTGTTGTCTTCTTCTTCTGTCTTTTTCTTTGTGCTGCATTTTAGCAACTCCAATACTTTCCCTGTAACCATGTAGATATTCTGTTCTCAAAAATATTAAAAACAGCTTATCCTCCCAAGAATGTTCAGAGATTACTAGGCTGTATTATCTATTTAGTGCCTGCTGCCTCTGGGTAACTGAGTGTTTGATTCAATCCCTGGGAATCAGTTCTATTGAACTCAGTGTTTTTCCCTTCTTAGAATTTGACAGCATTTGTGGAGTAAGTTGTTCCACATTACTGCTTAATTTCTAGAAAGGTATAAAAGTGAACACTAATTTTGACTGACCAATTAGTTAGTGAATGAGGCTGGATTTATAGGTAGCTGTTGGATTTATAGGAAGTTATTGTATATCAGATTGGGCCCTCTAGTTCTGTACTGTCTAGTCCAGGCATATCAAACTCACGACGTCACATGACGTCGTGCAATGTATCGCGACTTTTTTCCCATTGCCAGCAATGGGGTGGGCACGGTTTTGGTGTGACGCATTCAGACCACGGGCCGGCAGTTTGACATGCCTGGTCTAATCCTTTATTAAGAATTCCTTTTTTCTTTTTTTTCTTTTTGGAACAAAGAACTTTTCCAACTCTTTCCGTATATACCAAGAATTGTATTGGGACTTTCTACATATAGAGGCTCGTTCAAATCCTTTGGGATGAAAAGGCGATTTTGTTCTCCTATGGATCAAGTGAAACAAAGAAGGCTCACTCATTCTAGAATCTCAATGTCTTAATTCTTGAATATACATTTAGAGAGATATCATTTATTTTTACAGGAAACGCTTTCCCCTGAGCATTATAATCAGTGTGTTTGCAATCATTTTGGGGGCCTTAATAGCAGCAGGGTAAGATTTTAAAGTTTCCTTTAGTACTCCATATTTGTTTTTTAACATCAGTGAAAAATAATATTCCTTTGTAGATCAGTGTTTGGATGAATGAGTAGATACTGTAAAATATTTGTACACTGCAGTTTTCTGTAGCAGCCTTCCCCAACCTAGTGCCCTAAAAATAGTTGGTGTTTCAACTCCCAGAGTTCCCAGCTAGTTTGGCCAATTAGCTGGAAGTTCTGGGAGATGTAATCATAGCACTTTCAGAGAACTATGAAATGGGTAAAGGTGGTCTAGATCAGAAGTCCCCAACTTTTTGGGCACCAGGGACCGGTTCCGTGAAGAGAGATTTTCCACGGACCAGAGGGGGCGTGGTTTCATGTACTGCCTGCATCCTGTGCTTAGGGCTTTGCTTGTTTGTGTGGACCAATTTCTGGCATGCCACAGACTGGTGCCGGTCCACGGAACAGGGGTTGGGGACCCCTGGTCTAGATCAACAATGACAATGGTCTGGAAATCATCTGCAGATGATGTTGACTGTGCTGCAGAACACAAAAATTAACATGCCTTTGACATTTTTTAAACAAAGATGATCCAAAATAAATTGATGTGACTTGTGTACAGCAGTTCAAAATTTGAAGTCAACTGGGGAAATTATTCTAGTGCATCACAGAAGGAAAAGGATGGAGTCACTGATTGTAATCACAATGGCCTGAGTCCAGAGTTAATTATACTGAAGGTCTCACAATAAATCATGCTTTATATTGCGTAATAAAAATGTCCTGGTAGATTGGGGAGTACTAATAGCAGAGGCCTGGGAGAACTACAGCTCCTAGTAATTTCCTGCCAAATGGAACAAGTATATTTTGAAAGCAATTGAATATGAAAGATAGCCTTGGTGGCACAGTGGTTAAAGTGCTGTATTGCAGACAAACTGCCCACAGCCTGGAGTTCAATGGGGCTCAAGGCTGATTCAGCCTTCCATCCTTTAAGATTGGTAAAATGAGGACCCAGATTTTTAGGGTCAATATGGAAATAATGCTTACATTGTAAACCATCCAGAGAATGCTATAAAGCACTATGGGACGGTATATAAACCTAAATGCTATTGCTATTGTTATATATTATAAAGGCTATAATATTATTTATTGATGTTCATGTGTATGTTTGTGCTCCATATAGTAAGATTCCTACTCTATTAGGTTGTCCTATGTCTTATCCCACTGTAATTTCAACATCTCCATCAAATATTTTACTGTTGATGTAATTGTTGTCTGATTAAATTCTCACACACTAAATATACTTTAAATGGCAAACCAATTTATACATAATATATTTTATAAAATGACCACATGACTTTTATGTAAACTTTGAATTTTCTCAGTATGTTTACTGAGTAAAACAAGACTAGATTGGTTTTTTTTACCCCAGAGTTCTTACAAATTTATCTCTTGTTTGTAATATGGATACAACTTGGAGAGTAGACAGAATATGTCCACTGCAAAGAAAGCTATTGTTTAAATTTATGCTATTTAAATTAGTCTCTCTTTCCATATTTTATTTTCCAGATCAGATTTAGCTTTCGGCTTGGAAGGCTATGTTTCTGTTTTGCTCAATGATATCTTCACAGCAGCAAATGGTGTTTATACCAAACAAAAAATTGACCCTCAGGTAACTATGCAGAGATTTTATGTGTTCTTCTTTGCATTTTTTTTAAACATGTGGGTTAACATGTGGAAAAATAGATTTTAAAGTCACCTTAAAGTTTAGATGTTGTATAGTTTTCTTAATACTCTTAAAAAGCCTGATATAGTGGAATACCTCTTTTTTTTTTTTTTTAAAAAAAAAGTATTTGTAGACCACTTTTTATAACTGTCTTTTCACAAGGTCATAAATATTTTATTGTAATATCTTTGTGAAAGTTTCAACCACTTTTATATCTTAAATACTGCTATTCTGTCAACTTAAAAAATTGTTCTGTAGCTGATTGCTGTGGCTGATTCATGTAAGCAAGGAATATGTAAGCTATGATCTCAGGGCTTTAAAAAGCTGACAAATTGACATTTTAAAGGGAAAATCAGTAAATATGGTCAAGTATTTGATTCTTGAAATTATACTTAATTAATGTAATTTGAACTGAATTTGAATGCAAATTAAACTAAGTTTTGTCCTGCCTGAGCCAACTTCCAGAATGCGATTGCCAATCAAGGATTCAAGTGTCATAATTCGTTTGAAAAAGGGTTTTCAATCATGGTTTAAGCCAATTTCTATTCTAGACTCTGATAGTTGTACCTCATACTTCTAATCATACATATTGCTTCCACCAGAGTAGACATTTATATGGAAAGATCCATGCTATTGGCTCTTTGTTCTGTTTTAGTTAAGGATAATTAGTTCAGTCATTATCATCTAATTATTCCCCCTAACATTTTTCCACATAGAATCTTATTTGATAAACAATTTATATTATCCAAGCTTACATGCCTTTCAAACAGAGTCTTCATGATTCATTTAATTTACTGGGTTCTACATACGTTACCATAGATATCTCAGTCCTGAATCCTTCAGGAACTCTTAAGTAATCAGCTATCAGATTTCTTTTAACGTATGTATTTGTTTATACAGGAACTGGGAAGATATGGAGTAATTTTTTATAATGCCTACTTTATGATAATTCCTACAGTTCTCATCAGTTTTTTCACTGGAGATTTCCAGCAGGTAAATAGAGCTTAGGAACGAATCGAGTACAATAATGCTTTAATTGGCTTGGGTTCTAAATTTATATTTCTGGAATGATAGGTGTTTGGGATCCTTTTGCGTATAAAGTAAAAATGTAGGATTTTGTCCTCTAAGAGGCGATTGATTTTATAACATTATAAGTAGTGGTTTAGTATAAGATATGAAATCTCGTTTTGGCGAGTTAGGAATAGAACAGAAGATTAAGGGGAAATATTAGTCTTCCATAAACTTTATCCATCCATCCTTTCAAGTTATCTTGACTGATATTTGGTGCTGACCGAGAAGAACTATATTTCTCTTGGAACCTTCATTCCAACATTTTTTTTTCTTCTGTTCATTTGTGTCTGATAGTCAGCGATTGCCTAGACGCATATCCCTGCATTGTCCTTGGTAAGGTTTTTCTGAAGTGGTATGCCATTGCTTCTCCCTGAGGCTGATAGAAAGTGACTGGTGCAAGGTGGAACTAGAACTCACAATCTCCTGGTTTCTAGCCTGATATCTTAACACTACAGCAAACTGGCTCATTCTGCGATTACATGGCTACTATTAAATGGCTACCAATTGTTTGGGAATGGGAGGAAGGAACTGCATGAGAGCTCTTGGAAGGAAGATTCTTTTTCTTAGCTAAACTAACATCTTTGGACATTACCTAAACCAGGGGTCTTCAAACTTGGCCCTTTTATGACTTGTGGACTTCAACTCCCAGAATTCCTCAGCCAGCATTCCTGGCTGAGGAATTCTGGGAGTTGAAGTCCACAAGTCATAAAAGGACCAAGTTTGAAGACCCCTGACCTAAACCCTCCAATCCCATGTGCGCTTAATGGCTACTTGTGAAGTCTGTGGGAATCTGCAGGCACGCATCTTGGCAATTCAGAGAGAGAGAGAGAGAGACCCAAAATCAATAATTAGTGATTTACAAGAAAAAGGAAATCTGTAATATGAAGATGTGCCGCCTGTTGGAAGTCAGCAGAACAACACTTGGTATGATTTCTAAAGATCAAGCAGATTTTTTTTTCTCAGATTCAATTATTTTTGTGAATTGGATTTTTCAGTAAATAATTGGTAATTTTTCTCTCTCTAAATATATCAAAAATCTTATCTTTTTTTATTTTTACAGGCCACGGATTTCCAGCAGTGGACAAACGCTTTATTTATCTTTCAGTTTCTTCTTTCTTGTGTGTTGGGGTAAGACGATCTTGGGCAAATAATCAAGTAATGACTGGCATAACTTTGCATCTTGGAAATCCTTCTGCATAATTAGCAGAGTAAGATAAGCTAAAAAGAGAAAGATCTCAATGATTCATGCTCTGTTCTCATAGTATAGCTTTTGTATCCTGCTGCACAACATTTTAAGAACTATCTCTTTTTATTAAAGAGCAAAAATAATTTCCACATGCTCTCTGATTCTTTTTCAGTGTAGCTTGCTTTGGGACATTTTCATTGGCCACATCAATGAAATTAGAACAGGAATCCCTTGATAGTGTAGCACAAGGGTCTTCAAACTTGGCCCTTTTATGATTTGTGGACTTCAACTCCCAGAATTTCTCAGCCAGGCACTCTGGCTGAGGAATTCTGGGAGTTGAAGTCCACAAATCATAAAAAGGCCAAGTCTGAAGACCCCTGGTGTAGCACATTTTAAATCCTGCAAATCAGGTGATAGTTTCCAGAGGATACTTGGTGCTGTATAAAAATGATGGAGTCAGTAGAAGCTCAGTTTTAGTTTGCCTAATTTTGTATCAGATCTTCAAATGCAGCAGGTTTTAGATTATGTTTAGGCTATTTTAAATACTGAAACGCAACATAAAATAGGGTAGTGAATGTCAATATAGAATTATGGCATATATCAGTTGTTTATTTGACAAAAAGCAGAAAACCAAGTTACATAGTCCTTTTTTGTTTTTAATGCTAGGTTTCTTCTGATGTATTCTACAGTTCTCTGCAGCCATTATAATTCTGCTCTAACAACTGCAGTAGTTGGTGCTATAAAAGTAAGTAACCAAAAGGAGTTGATATTTGGTTATAGTAGCTGAATATACACATTACACACCAGGGGTGTCAAACTGCCAGCATGGAGACCGTGCCCACCCCAGCTCTAGCAATGCAAAAAATGTCACGTGACGTGGCAAGTTGGACACATGCACTACACTGTCAATATGGATTGTTTATTTTGACTTTAGTATAATATATGAATCCAGTTATTATAGGTTGCATAGCATGGTTTATAATTTGCCACTAGGTCTGAACTAGGTTGCTAAGAATTTTAACCTATAATCCATAGTTAAGAAGTACACATGTAATGTGTGAACCCAGTACTGTTAAAACCACCTGCAAAAGACAGTCCTGTGTCTTGAGTACAGTTTTGACCTATGACTATGTATATGAATGTCTTGGTAGCACTTTTTGTAAAACATTTTCTTACATGTGTAGTGGGAACATATAAAAATGTGATGATCTTTAGGTTTCTAAAAAGGCCAGGAATAATTTATCCAATTATATTCAGCCCAATGTTATTTGTAGAGTCATTTTTACCAAGTGATGTATCAAGTAGAGATCGGGTCCCACATCAAGACATAAGGGTTTGAAAATAGATAGAGGACAGTATGGATCCAGGTAGCAGACCAAACAGTGAGATATATTGGCATTCAAAGAAATATGAGCCTCTTGGCTCAATATCCAGGGGTTAGGTTTCCAGCATAGTCCTGTTCTCCACTTACTTTCTTACTTACTTTCAAGTTCTCAGATGTTCAGATAAATGACTGAAGAGGGCTTAGGACAGAACAGCATGGTATATCTTTCATCTTCTACTCCCCATGAAGTATGCAAGATCAGGACTCTTTCTTCATAGTTCTTACCTTATATTTGAGATAAGATTTGCACGAAATGGTATGGCTTGGTTGGTAGCAATGTATCTAATTCCCATTTTCCTACCAATTCAGCTACTGTATCTGTTACTTGTTTACAAGTGTGTTATCCAGATGCAGTATATTCTGCTTTCAGCTACAGCAAAGCATTGCTGAAAGATGGCATAAACAAGCCATAGCTATGTTTTGTGTTTAAATATAGATGCCAATAGGAAGTATTCTAGGTTCAGACATGAACAATAAAAAAATGAGGAATTAAGTAGTGAAGCCCTTTAAGAGAAAGGAGTCAGTTCATGCTAACCATGCTTTATAGCTTATCGTAGTGGACATTTGTAGTATTTACATACACTGCTTTTTCTTTATAGAATGTGTCTGTTGCTTATATTGGCATGCTATTTGGTGGAGATTACATATTTAATATGTTGAACTTCATTGGACTCAATATCAGGTAAGCGAATTTTGAAAGGATGTCATAGTCTCAAGGAAGTTCATGGTTTTATTATTATGTCTATTCTTTTCTTTCCTCCTCTAGCATGGCAGGAGGCCTGAGATATTCATTCTTGGCAATACGGGGACAGGACAATCCTAATTGTCCCCCCATAACTGAAGAAAAAACAACTCCAGATTCCAAGAGCTAACTGAAGCAAACAACATGAAAAACTCTAAGGATGCCAACTAGGCAAAAATATTTCCTTTGATAGAAGATGATAACTGAAACACATAAAAATGCACCTGAAAATTCACTTGCCATATTAAAGCAATCTTCAACGTACAGAAAATAGTTTGCAAATTTTTGAGTTTCCAAGAATTGTTCATGATTAAAAATCCAAAAAAGAATATTCAGGGTATATAAAATGTGGGTTTTGTTTAGGCTATGTCTATACCAGGCTTCAGATCGTGTGTGGAAAAAAAAAAACCTGCAGTAGCATTAGCCTGTAACAAAATTTTGCTAGAAAGTTGAAAAGAACAAATATTTGTTGGTCTCCCATTTTGGAAATAAAATCAAAAGTCAAAAGTAGAAACCAGTAGATTGCTGATGTATTTGGTAATCTAAACTAACTGTAGCAAGTTTTGTAATAGATGGCAGAGGCCAATGAATTTTTACTGAGAATCAATGGGATTGGCTAAATTAAATGAGTCTTGAATAATCCAGCCCTCTTATTGATACCCTAGATTTTGAAATAAATATAACACTGCCTGCCTTGCCTGTGTTTATGGATCCCAGCCATTTTCTTTGTTTTGACTAGCTCTAGATTGTATACTGCAAAATATTGGTGACTCACCAGTCTTTTGAATATGCCTCCAATTCTTAAAAAGATCTGTACTCTTCATGGCCAGCCTGAATTATGAGGCTTGTCCATCTCTCAAAGTTCCACCAGGCTTGATAATCTACAGGAAATATAACCAATTGTCATTTGGAGAGGCAGGAATAGTCTTCCTGAGTCAAGTGAAAATTGCCAGAAAACTATCCATTCTGTTTAAAAGCCAACTATGACCTCATAAACATTCACACCAGTTTGTCAGTGTCTGGACCTCTTGTGGCATCTGGAGACCTCTAATGCATTGCCTATTTGATAATCTACACATTGAATGTACATAATCTGTACCTAAAGTAGCAACTACAGGCTACCAATTAGTGTCTGGTTCTTGACTTCCATGAATATCATTGTGAAATCAAAAACTGCTTCTTTGTATCTTGTTTTATAATCATTGGATCTTCCAAATTTCAGCTGTTGAATTAAGTACAAAAGGCCATGAATGACCAACAGAACAGAGAGAAGTCACTTGCGATCTTCTAGAACAGTGGTGGCGAACCTATGGCACGGGTGCCAGAGGCGGCACTTAGAGCCCTCTCTGTGGGCACGCATGCCGTCACCCCAGTCCTAGGCCTTCAGCTGGGTTTTATAAAACTTTTTCGTTTTAGGCCTCTGCCACCATGTGCAAAAAAAAAAAAAAAAGGTTCAATCAATCAGTCAATTTCAACTTCTTGTGGGGAAAAAAAAGATCTTGCAAAATTGGAATTGATTGATTGAACTTTTTAGTCCCACCCAATCTGCCATTACTACCGCAGCCACGCCCACCCAATTGGCCATGCCCACCCAATTGGCCACACCCACCCGGCACTCGACAATGCATAAGTGGGTTTTGGGTTGCAGTTTGGGCACTCAGTCTCTAAAAGGTTCGCCATCACTGTTCTAGAAGTACTTAAATTATAGTTAGAGATGGTGAAAATTCTTTTTAGCGGCTTCTGGATTCTCTTCCCTCTATAACAATGTTTCTCAACCTCGCCAACTTTAACATGGGTGGACTTCAGCTCCCAGAATTCCCCAGCCAGTCAAGCTTAAGGTTGCCACCCATTTTAACTTTAGGATCCACCTATCCTAAAGTTGCCAAGGTTGAGAAACATTGCTATATAACATAGGAATTAAAAAAGAGAAAAAGAAAAAAAAACTAATGTACCGTATTTTCCGGCGTATAGGACGACTCGTCATATAAGATGACCCCCAACTTTGGCGCCGATTTGCATGCCTAGAAAGTCATCTTATACACCAGAAACTACCGTAATTTCCAATGTATAAGACGACTCGGTGTATAAGGTGACCCCCGACTTCGGTGCCGATTTGCATGCTTTAGAAAGTCGTCTTATACGCCGGAAAATATGGTACCATGAAACAGATGTTTTTTATACTAGACTAGAGGTGGGGAGCTATGACTCCTTTATGACTTGACATCAACTCCCAGAATTCCTGAGCTAGCCATGCTGGCTCAGGAATTCTGGGAGTTGAAGTGCACAGGTCATAAAAGGGCCAGAGTTCCCCACCCTTGTACTAAAGGATATTTTTCCACCCGCAAAACTGCTGCTCAAAGGAGTTATGAAGGAACTACATGCAGTTTTACCTGCTTAGGTTGGGTTGTTATGAGGAAATGCCATGGCATCAAGTTGCTTGTGCTGGTTTCAGTGATATGTTTTTCATTGCTAAGTCTTTCAGAACTGGTCAGAAACGGCCAGGAGAGGCATTGCCATCCAGTTTTCTCAGCTCAGAACGTGGGATCCTGGCAAGCATAATAAATTCTATGTCTTTTGTCAAAAAGCAGGCTGTTCAAAGAGCCTGATGTGTAGGATGTTTGCTCTTTCTGTCTTTGCCTGTCTGACCTTGAAAAGGGATCTTACAGTTATAAAGCTACTTAATATGAAGAATTGATACCAAGCTGACATATTTTGTAATAAATTATGCTCACTGGCCTATTGGTGTGTTTTTTATTGTTTCGATCTATGGCCACTCACCAAATAAATAAATGGCTTTGATTCAACCATTGTTTTAAATGAGTCCCTATTTTTGTAATAGAACTACTTAAAAGAACTATTTTGGGAAAGCATAAACTGACTAAGTATGTGGGTTTTTCCCCCTTTATAGTAGTTATACTATATGTGTAACCATAAGGATGCAGATATTCATGGCCACCTTTGTTCTAGACAAGGAGACAAAACAAGAAATTTCCAGTGAAGACTGGCTGAGAGCAGGGTAGCAATTATCATGGATGTAAAATATTAAAATATAGAGTATTAGCTGTTGATTTTGGAAAAAGCCTGCTTGAGCAGCAATCTTCTTTGGCATCTTTAGGCTTTGTTAAGGTAAAGTGTTATCACATGTAGTTTTGATCTGGCATAAAGATTTGTACACATACAGGGTGTATTAAAAGTCAGCTCCATAGGCCGATCACAATAGGGCTTATCAATTTTATTTCGTTTTTTCAGAGAAAATGTTACCATTGTTAGGAATGTTTGAAGGCCATGTGTCAAATGAATAAGAGGTGTTTAGAGGAAAAAACAATTTGAACATTTAATATAATTTATATAATAAATTATCTGCGGGATTGACTTTTGGAACACCCTCTAAATGTATATGCATATGTGTACTGTGTACACACACACACACACACACACACAAAGAGACGTTTGCAGTACAGGATGTTCTTGACTTACGACTATTCATTTAGTGACCGTTTGAAGTTAACAGTAGCGCTGAAAAAAGTGGCTTATTATGATCCATTTTCACACTTATGGATGTTGCAATATCCTCATGATCAAAATTTGGCATGTATCTATGACTGTTGCATTGTCCCAGGGTCACATGTTCACCATTTGTAAACTTTCCAGCCAGCTTCTGACAAGCAAAGCCAAACCAGATTCACTTAATGGCCGTGTGATTCATTTAACAACCGCAGATACTCGCTGAACAACTGTGGCAAAAAAAGGTTGTAAAATGGGATAAAACTCAGTTGCTTTGCTTAGTAACAGAAATTTAGGACTCGATTGCGGTTATAAATTGAGGACAAGCTATATATGGCGGTCTTCTGTGTTTGCCTAAGTGGCTACCTGAAACAAGAATGATGCAGTGTGATCACTGAATTAGGAACCAGATTTTGATCATTCTCCTACCTATTGGCTCTGTTGTGAATACTTAGGTCTGACTTATTTAATACACTTACACTTACATAGCTGTGTTTGACCTAGGATGGCATAGCAGTGATAGCACCTTTCACTTGTGTCCCGTTGATGGCTGTCATCCGTGGAGCAAGAAAGAGCCAGGGTAACTGTATTTTCCTCAGGTATAAATGTCATTGGGTGTTTCTTGGGAATCTGCAGCTTGTAACTAACTCCAAGAAAAAAAAGACGTGGATTTTCCCTTTAGTGGACATTTAGCCACATTTTAATTTGAAGCAGAAGGACAAAAAGTCAGAACAGCTACATTTTAATACTATAGACCAGGGGCAGGCAACCTTGGCTCTTTTATGACTCGTGGACTTCAACTTCCAGAATTCCTGAGCCAGCATAGCTGGCTCAGGAATTCTGGGAGTTGAAGTCCACGAGTCATAAAAGAGCCAAGGTTGCCTACCCCTGCTATAGACAAACACTTAATTTGGGATTGCAATCAACAGCTGCACTCATTCACATCACTCTCTAGTTTCATATTTGGTTTCTGTTGGTTTTTATTCCTTTATGGACTATTTGGCATTATACTTCTTTTAATATCCATTGCTAGAGATATACCAAAAATTGCAGTTCACCCAAATAGTGAAGTGAATCGCTGGAAAGTATTTTTTCTAAACTGGAGCTAGTTATTACATTCTCATCATTTCTTATGGAAGGAGAACAATTAGTTTTAATAGCTTTATGGTTCTACATCTTATCTCTGTTGCAAAGTATTCAGAGTTTCTTCTGGGGAAATTTTGGAAAACATTTCTTCTAATACTTAATTTCGTTACCCTTATTCTAAACTTCAGAATTACAGATGGTAGATATATTGCAGTCTACTCTAAACAACTTAAACGGTATTGAAATGTTTTCACTGGTGACCTAAGGCAATCAAGTAAATCACTTTGTACTTAATAAATACATAAATTTAGCCCACATGAACCGGAGAAAAGAAACATAATTGAATATGAAAGCATTGCTATTTATTTCAAAAAGAAGAGTGATTTGACTTGGTTAACTCATGGAAGAAAGATTTGTTTATGGCTTTTAAAAATTTATAATGACAAAATGATAAATGAAAGTGAGTATTGTTTGTGTGTGTGTGTGTGTGTGTGTGTGTGTGTGTACAAACACAGACACCTTTTAGGGAGAATCTGAATACAAAGAATGTACTCATTAGAAAAGGTTAATCCCGAACTACAAAAAATGAAGGTAAGAAAACCAGGAAGAAGCTGTATTATCCCTTTCAATAAAAGATAAGTGGATAAATTGTTTATGTGCTGAGTTGCATAGAAGTGGGGAAGAGCAAGATGGTGGGTGCTAATGGATAACTAGACTGAAAAGGAGTGTAAACCAAAAAAGTAGAGGGAAATGGGTTTTTAATAGAAACAATATGTAATACCTACTGTGAATAAGCTATATAAAGGGTGAATACAGGTAGTCCTCGATTTACAACCATAACAGTCCAAAATTTCTGTTGTTAAGTAAGACATTCGTTAAGTGA